CCAGAACTTTCTTCATTCAAGTAACAACAACAACAATCATGATCATATTTGCATAATCATCAATTGGAGAGCGCCAGGCCTCTGTCCGGGTGAAATACCACGGTGGAACCATGGTGGAACATTTCAAGAATCATAGTACTTTGTTATACCACTTTTTTCTTGAAACCATCTCAGTGGCATTCCAGGTAACACCCAGAGTCAAATCAACCTGTGACACTGTCACTACAGACTCACTATTTTCAGATACATGTAAGTTTGCTGTCAATGCTCCCTGCAAAAAACGCAAACCTTAAACCACCACAAAGATTTCACGATTCTGAGTTATTTGTACTACTTTTTTCTTGAGACGTGTGCACGTGATGCACGTGTGCACGTAAATTGATACAACATTCTGTCCCTTAGGGACAGCGTTCAGAACATTCTTTATTCACATTACAACAAATTACACATTTTTCTTGAGACCATCCCAGTGCCACTGCCCAATAATTCATCCCATGTAACACCCAGAGTCAAATCAGTTTGTGACAGTCACAGTGGCAAAATGATGCAAGTGAACATTCTGTCCTTGAGGGGCATTTATGGTACTTGTCAAACTGTAGTAGACTCAGTCTGTTCTTTGTTGCCAGAGATTCAGCAGTAAGATTCTGTCATTCTAGCATTGCACTACAAACTGGTACATTGTGCATCAAGTCAGTTGAGGATGACTGCTTTATACTTTTCAAAGCCATACCATCAGACAGGAGCCAAATGCCTTGGCTGCCAATAGAGCTAAACAGTTTGGACTGTACCTGTCCTGGTGCTGAACAACATTTTTTCAGGGACAAGGAAGTCACAGCGTGACGAGTTGGCTGTGAACGCTCCTTGCAAAAACTGCAAACATCAAACCACAAATATTTCACAATTCACAGTACCAGTACTTGAGGCCAGTGCCAAATATTCCATGTAACACCCATAGTCAAAGATTCTGCCATTCAAGGGCATTGCACTACAAACAGATAGTAACGACTTGTGCATCAATTCAGTTGAAGATGGCTCAGCTTCATACCGGTACCTTTCATATCCATACCATCAAACAGTAGTCATAATTGCTTGGCTGGTAACAGAGCTGAACTGCATGGACTGTACCTGTCCTTGGTGCTGAACAACATTTCAGGGACTGGAAATTCACAGTGTGATGAGTTTGCTGTGAACAACCTGAGTCAAATCAGCTTCTGTGCTTCAGGGACACTGCCAGAACTTGTCAAAGTTTACTTGACAAGAGGTTCAGTGGTAAGACACTGTCATCTGTTCACAGAACTTCTAAAGCATTATAAGTTCTACTTTGCTAGTAGAGATTCAGTGGTTACTTTCTGTCCTTCAGGGACAGGGAAATCAGATGATTTCTGTTCACAGTGTGACAAGTTAGCAGTGAACGCTCCCCACAAAAAAACGCAAACATCAAACCACCACAAATATTTACAGTACTTTGTATCACTTTGTACTGTTTTACTGGCAGATATGCATTCTATCCTTCAGGGACATTTCCAGACCTTGTCAAACATAACAAGTAGAGATTCAGTGGTAACTTTCAGTCCTTCAGAGACAAGGAAGTCACAGTGTGACAAGTTTGCTGTGAACGCTCCCTGCAAAAACCACAAACATCAAACCAGCACATATTTCATATTCATTGCAACATTCTGTCCTTCAGAGGTTCAGTGGTCTATTGTTTGGGACATTGCCAGAACTTGTCAAACAAAAGCTCTACTTTGCGAGTGGAAATTCAGTGGTAACTTTTCGTCCTTCAGGTAAGGCTTCAGAGTTGGCTTCAGAGTTTGCTGTGAATGCTCCCCACAAAAACTACAAACATCAAACCACACAAAGATATCACGATTCACAGTAACTGTTGTTTCTTGGCGTGTAAATTGCTCAATTATTCCATGTAACACCCAGAGTCATTCACTGGGAAGATGAAAAATTGATGCAAGAGATTTTGTCCTTGAGGGACGTTTTCAGTAACTGTTCTTTGCTGGCAGAGATTCTTGGTTTGAACATTCTGTCCTTCAGGGACATTGCTAGACCTTGGTAAAGTGTACCAGAATAGAACAGAATAATTGCTTTCAGAGGTTCAGTGGTACAATTCTGTTGTCCCGGGACATTGCTAGAACTTGTCAGAAACAGAAAAAGTGTAGATTCAGTGGTTACCATAACTTTCCGTCTTTTAGGGATGGCTTCAGAGTTTGCTGTGAACGCTCCCAGCAAAAACTGCAAACATCAGACAACCACAAAGATTTCACAATTCACAGTTTTTTCTTGAGGCCTTTGCCCATGGCCAACTATTCCATGTAACACCCAGAGTCAAATCACTGGGAAGATGAAAAATTGATGCAAGAGATCATTCTGTCCTTGAGCCAGTTGAGGGAGGTTTCTCAAACTGTGACTCTGTTCTTTGCTTGCAGAAGTTTATTGGTAAGATTCTGTCATTTGGGGACATGGTCAGACTTATCAAAGTAAAGTAGACTGAAAATACTTCTTCCAGGCACAGATTCATTGATTTGAACATCATGGCCTTCAGGGACATTGCCAGAACTTGGATACTGGAGTTTTTGTTTTACACAACCAGTAACAACTCTCACCTGCTTACGTTTCGAGGTCTGTTAGTGTTAGACACCTTTCCTCAGTCAACTTCTGACCGGAGTAGTGTTTCTCACCGCCATGTAGCCAACATAGGTCGGGTGCTTTTGGAGGGAGGACACAATTCCAATTGTGGCTAGGTGTGTATCCCCCTAATGCCAGTTCATCAATGGGGTTGACTTTTTTATCCAGACTGCTTCCTTGATCCACTAGATCAGACATTGTGAAACTTGTCAAGCTATAGTAGATTATTACTACTTTGCTAGCGGACATTTGGTCGTTGGACATTGGGTCATTCCTCACACATGAAAAAGTGTGACTATCACAGAGGTTCAGTGGTAAGATTCTGTCCTTGAGGGACAGGTCAGAACTTGTTAAAGTGTAGGCAGTATAGGCCAATGAGATTTGGTTGAGGTGCTAGTTACTATTCCTTGGTGCCGAAGTGAAAATGCTGAGCGCCATACGAGTGGGTGCCGAAGCCACTTGGTGAGTCCCGAGCTTTGTGGGTTTGCGCCATGCAGAGAGTAACACAGTGGCTTCAACTTCCACAAGAATTCCATGCCCTACAGCCCATGGTCAAAGTGTAGTAGACTATTAACTTCTGTTAAGTAGACAGCAGCACTTGGGGTCTTTGTTCGCATAGTATAGAGTAGCAAGTCAGCACTCTTTTGTACTGTTTAAAGTACAAACTAATAGCCAATGACAGCACTTGGGGTCTTTGCAGGTTGTAGAGTAGCCAATATCAGGATAATCATTGTGTATGTCTGTTTGCACTGTCTCGTGGTTGTCCATCGTTGCCGATGATGACTTGCACTGTGTAAAGTAGCTAATCAGCAAAGTCAGAACTTGGGTTCTTTGTTTGCATTATTTGAGTAGCCAATCAGCACTTCGTATCTCTGTTTCCACCGTGTGCATTGTGCTTCTCGAAAAGAGCTAGAGTTACCCTGTTAAGTAGCCTATGACAGCAGCACTTGGGGTCTTTGTTCGCATGGTATAGAGTTACTGTAGCAAATCAGCACTTTTTTTGTATTGTGTTTAGTTTAGTAGCCAATGATTTGCGGTCTTTGCTTGCACGTTGTAGGATAGCCAAGTTCGTATCTCTATTAAGACCAGTGGAAGATTTGCTCTGTAGTGAGCTAACTGGATCAAGATCATTAAATTCCTTTCCTGATACCAAAATGTTTAAAAACTTCTGACGTGTTTATCGTGTTTGCCTCAACAGAGACAGAGCCAATACGGAGTCGACTTCTGAGCACCTTTGGTCTATTGCTGACATCACCGTGACTTTCAAGCTTCGGGTCAACTCAACTTGTGCAGGACAGGGCTCGAGAAAACTGGCTGAAAGCTGTAGCTAGCTGCAACCAGTAAGCAGTCTTTAAATGTTGTTTACTGTCAGATAAACTTTCAGTTGAACATGTTCCAAAAATATTGTATTTTTAGGTAGCAGTGTCTTTTGACTCAAGCTTCAAGTCATTTCAACTTGTACAGGACACAGGGCTTGAGAAAACTGGTGAAAAGCTTGTTGCAACTGGTAAGCACTTTACATGTCAATGTTGTTCTTCATCACAAATGAACTTTCATTCAAACATGTTCCATTTTTAAGGTTTTGATCTGTTTTTAAGGTTTACTTAGGAAGTTTTATGTCATCAGAAGTCTTCTTTTCATTTAAGAATTATGTCATGTAGCTTGGCTTATTCTCATGATAAATTTTAGAATTTTATCCAGCAAAGTCACACACAAACACGCAGGCTTCTGAGTGAAAAAGAAATGAAACTTTGCATGAACTGCATCCAAAAAGGCAGAGCGTATGGTCAAAATATTACTTCCAAAATCAGTTGTTTTGGAGCTAAAACATGTAAGTTAATGGTCTACCGTGGGTACAATGAAAAGCACCCACAAGAAAACCAAGATTCACAAAAAAAATTGATCGCACATCCACAAAGAAGGTAGGCCCACCTATTTTGAACTTTTAACATGTCACTCAGGTCCTTGTTGCAAGAGAGTTATAAAAAAAAAGTATCATGATGTCCTACACTTCTGTCACAGATTTCACAGACTGATACAGCAAGGTTGATGCAGGCCACTCAGATTAAGACCTTATTGATAAGTTAGTTCATGTCGTAGTCGGTTATCTAACGTTTGCATTCTTGCAATTTCAGAATTTTTTTAAAGACAGTCCTCCTGAATTTACCAAAAAGTGTTGTCAGGACCCCCCTCCCCCATATTGAACAGACTCTGAGGTCTTCCACAAGATATTGAGTATGCAATCAAAAACTCTTTTTTTACTGAAGAGCTATCGTAGAGTGGAACTTACTGCTACACAGTTGTTACAGTCAGAGTGTACTACCGTTAGCTCAGAGCAGCAACAAGCCAAATCATCTCATCCTGACGGAAGATCGATCACATACGATAATCGAGTTCGGCAGTTTGCCGCTAGTCCAGCATTGCTCCAGCAGTGCTTTCCGCATGTTCCACATGAAAAAGCCGTTGTCTGGCACTGTTTGTATCTAATGCCAAATATTAGATGTCATCATTCACAATATATAGCTGTATATCTGCCATTGAAAATACGGGACATTTTGGCTGCAGTGGCCAAACAGTAATAAACTCAAAACCAGCTGGAAGATACACAATACAAATGTATTGATAATTACTTTCCCAAGCCATGAATACCTGGTAAGCTGAGACACTGGCCTTGGACAGAGCGGGTCGGAGAATCTATCTGTATCTGTATCTAATCTAGACAGAGGGGAGGAAGGGGCCAGATCCTGGCCCGAGTACTTAAGGAAAGTAGGCAGGTAGGCAGGCCATGAATACTTGCCTATTCCTTAGTGAACCTTGGTCTACCTGGCCAAGGCAATTCAAGCACTCAAACTTTGAGTCAACAGAGTCTCTTAATCAAAAACCAGAAGAAATCCAAACATGCCATCCAACTCATTTCTGTAAACCTTTTCCATCACAAGGTGTTGTCCATACCCTACAGTAGATTACGTGTAATAAAGCACCTTTCAAGTCCTGGGTACACAAGGGTAGGTCTGGGGAGAAAGGATCATTGGGATTGTTACCTTGTTGGACTTACTCTTGCTTAAGTATCATAGAAGTATGACACTGTTGTTTTTCTTGGGGGTTGATGGGATGGGGCTTTTTGCAAGGGTGATTAAGTAGATCACCGTATGGCGTGCCAATACGAGATGGGGTCCGCCAGGCCTCCATTCGGGTGATTTAAATCTAATCACCAACTTGCCGCATAAACGGAATCGATTCAATATGATTGATGCCTTAAGTTTAACTGACCACAGGGTGATGATTCATTATAATTACACATTATTGTCATTCAAAGACTTACATGTATACCTAACCTATTGACTAACATATAAGTAAGTAAATTAACATACTAAATAATCTATTACCTAACCTATTGGGAAGTAAGCTGCTGCTTGGTGAGACTGTTTTTTTTTCAGAGTCTGCGCTACACATACATTAAGTTGCCATTGCTAGCAGCTACTGGGCGAGACAGAGTCTTGGCTATTACCTAACCTATAAGTAAACTAACCTACTAACTGAGAACATATTACCTACTAAACTATAAGAAAGTAGACTAACCTATAATTCACTAACCTGTTAACTGTCAACTAACCTGTAAGTAAACTAACCTATTACTTAACCTATTATCTAACCTACTAACCTATTACCTAACCTAACCTTTAAGCTAACCAATTAACCTAGTTAACGGGTCAACTTAACTTATCTATAATGTGCCAGATGGGGACTAATACGGATGGGCCACCCCACAGCTACCCTGCAGAATGCCACTTGCCATCCAGTAGAAGTGCTACCCCTCTCTGACACACTTTAAAATAGTACAAGTGGAGTACTATATGCTTATCTATATCTACCTTAGTTAGAGAGAAATAAAGTTATGATTAACAAAATATCAATTAAATTATGCAAACGTTTTTGGAAGTTTATCAACTTAAATATTAAGCAAAGGTACTGCTTTCTGTTCTGATACATGTAACACATACACACAATTATTATGCAAACTCGGACATTTATCAAGTTCACCAGCTTGAAGGGATGTCCTATGTCCTTTTCATTGTAACATACACACAAACACATGCACGCACTTAGATAAAGAGAACAATAAATACCAGTTATGCAAGACCTTGTCACAAGTTAATCAACTTCAAGGAAGGTCCTGCTTCGTCAAATGGTTGACTTAACACTATAGACATTCGGAAAGAGAAACAGGCAAAAAATGCCTAGCATTCAAATTGATGTTGTGATTTCAGAGCTTATATCAAACTGTTATATAACCTACTGACTTCATCCTATAAGAAAGTAAGCAGCTACTTGGCGAGACTGTTTTTTTTTTTAGAGTCTCGGCTACACATACAAGCGTATCTACTAGTATTTGATTTTTTCAGGTTATCGTAACTAAGTGGCAACTGCTAGTAGCTACCTGTCGAGACTGTTTTTTTTATAGTCTCGGCTACAAGTGTAACAATTGTATGTCACCTCTAAGTTGACACACAGATGCTGCTTTTGGGACGTTTTTCTTTTTTTTCTTTTTTTTTTCTTTAAGCCACCTCCCAGGTCAGTGTAGTGTCAAAACTGGTCTTACCCAGTATGTTTTGATCCATCTCTGTGTTGTAATAGCCAGTCGTTCAATGAGTCAGTTCCACCCAAAAGGCATGAATATGGTGCAATCTCCATGATTTAGATCAAGTGCAGGAATTTTTCAGTACAGTTCTTTCTGGGCTGATGTTGCCACGGGTTTGTTTAGAACAGGAAAGCTTGTAACACTCCAGGTTAAGTTCCATCCAGCTTGTTCTCCAGGCTGTTCGTCGAGATCCATGTTGCAGGGTTCATTCCAAAGCAGCGTCACAGACAACGGTGGACTGTTAGGGAGTGTAACGTCACACAGGATCCAAGCCCAAACATCTCTCCCTTGTCAGCATTACCTTTCATGATTACTTGGCTCTTCTCTGCCCCAAAGTTACCAAATGGTCAAAGGTTGTTCCCTCGCTGTCTTCAGAAGGGCTTGCAAGACTCACTGTCGTGATGGTCACCTTCAGCATTCGGAACAGTACAGTTCTCTTTTCCGTTTTACCAGGGGTAGAGACAGTTCCAACACATAGCTGCGAAGACAAGTTGCAGTGTTTCTTCTGTACATGTATTGCATGCTGCAATGTGCTCCCGCCTCTCTGAATCCTTTGATTCGACGTGCAGATGTAGTGCTGTCTTGTGCTTCAAAAGCACGCTGAGCCACAGTTCTCTGAAGGCTGTCTTCAACTGCTGATGAATAAAGAAGAAGAACTGGTTATCATTTGATCAGACATTAAAGAACAACAACTTGAACAAGCTCAAATGCTGATGAATGAAGAAAAATGCATGAAATTTTGGCCTCTCAGTAGCATTAAGTCCAATTTACACAGGAAAATGTATCAAATCCATTCTTAGAAGAACCGTGTGTAAATTGTGCCTATGTCAAATAAGCTCAAAACATGGAAAAAGCATGGTATTGTGTAATCAAGTCAGCTCAAAATATTTACCTATAAAAATGACTGTGGCTGCATCTCAGTGTCTCCAGGATGTATTCTTTTCACTGGCACTTGACTGTACTGCGCTTTGCATTGCTGAATTGTGCTCCCACCTCACTGAAGTGATCCTGCAATCTTTGGAGCAGGACGGACCGAGTCCAGAGCACGCTGAGCCACAGTTCTCTGAAGACTGTCTTCAACTGCTGAGGAATGGAGAAGAAAAAAGAACTGGTTATTATTTGACAACACATTAAAAAAAAACAAGCCCGAGTAAGTCATGGGCTAAATTGCAGTGTACTAGACATTGGATAAAACAATAGCTCAGTGGAGCTAAAAATCATGTAAATTGCGCCTATGTGAAGTCAGCTCAAACTATTTACCTATGACTGTGGCTGCATCTCAGATCTCAGTGTCTCCAGGATGTTCTTTTCGCTGGCACTTGACTGTATTGTGCTTCCACCTCACTGAAGTGATCCTGCAATCTTAGTCTGAAGACTTGTCATTGGAGCAGGACGGACCGAGTCCAAAGCACGCTGAGCCACGGTTCTCTGAAGGCTGTCTTGAAGTTCATCTGCTGATGAATGAAGAAGAAAAAGAACTGGTTATTATTTGACCACACATTAAAGAACAATAAGCTCAAGTGCTGATGAATGAAGAAGAACACATGAAAGCATGGCCCAATATACATGTTCTCCAAGTCAATACAAACGAAAAACACAAATTCGGCCTCTCAGTAGCGTTAAGTTCAATTTACACAGGAATAATGTGTCCTGAGTCAAATTCATTCAAGTTGACTTGGAAAAAGCATGTGTAAATTGCGGCTATGTCAAATCAGCTCAAACTATTTACCTATAATGACTGTGGCTGCATCTCAGTGTCTCCAGGATGACAACTTCTCTTCACTGGCAGATGACATCCAGTTGACTCTGGTGACCCCTGAAGCTCGCTGAGTTTGCTGACTTCTTCTGTCATCCCAACTTCTTCCAGGGTGTACTGTAGGGTGCCTGATTCTCTAATGAGGTGAGCACCTGGTTTATCACTTCCTAGTCCAAGAAGTACATATGACATGTACTTTTTTGTGACATGTACTTGCGACGGCAGGCAATCCATGTGTTGAAATCCTCCTGAGCATGAGACAGCGACGGCTCTGCATGGAAGTCCCAAGTTGAGGTCGGTTTCTTTTTTTACATTTTTTTTGACAATTGTAGACTCATCAGTGTTGGTTGAATCTGTTCCCTGTTCACTCCTGCAAGCAGACAGCTTAACAGCTTTAATTTGGAGGTCCCAAGAAGTTTGTCTGCTGTTTTTTTTGTTTTTTTTTTTTTGTAGACGTTTTTTTTAGACATGTAGACTCATCAGTGTGGGTTGAATCTGTTCCCCATTCCTGCCCGTAGGCTGTCTGTTGACAGCTCTTCAACAGCTCTGGAGGTCCCAAGAAGTTCATCTGACATCTTTTTTTGCAACATGTAGACTAATCTGCGTGGGTAGAAACTGTTCCCTGCTCTCTCAGTTCATGTGCTGAAAGCTCCTCCTGAGAAGTAGGACTTTCTCCTTTCATGCCTTTTAAGTCTGTCACCTCTTGTTCGTTGCCTTCTGAGGATGATATCTGTGCAAACACCATTTCGCTCGGTAATTTGTTGTCTCTGTGTTCAAGGCTGCTATTCTTCTTTAGCCCGTTGTAACATTTTGAACTTGTAGGATGACGTCCGAAGTACCGAGCGAACACAGCTGTATCTTGGAAGGTGTATACCAGTTCCTGGGAGGTGCCGTTTCTTTTTTTCTTTTTTTTTGTCCCTTGCAGCATTTGCAACATTATGACACAGCTTATGTTTAACTTAATGAACCATCACACTTAAGTCAGAATTAAGTCAGACTCTATGGTTTTAGTTTAAGTCCAAGGTAAACAACTTAGGAAAGCCATATGGTAAAAGGGAAGGGAATCAGTAACTCAGCAAATGAAAGGTGCAGGAATTACAATACGGATAACACTCAACAACAATAAAAACTTATTATATCTACATAGGACAACTCAAAGAAATGGAAAAGGTTGACAGAAAGCTGGAATTTCCTCTGTATATTTTGTGGGCTTTTGATAGAGAGATTCTTTGATTCAAGGTTTCAGAACTGAAATTGCCTTTTAGAGATAGACTCAAGTGTTTCACAGGCTTAGAAACAGTTTGATATGCACAAGCATTATAGGGGCAGATGCCAAAGGACGCTTGAACACAGCAGTAAAAAGGGCCAAAAGGAGGCAGATACCACCAGAAACACCTGCCCGCACAGTGTATTTAATGTTAATGCCACGTGTGGCAGAGACTGCCAATCAGTCAAACATTGGACTATACAGCCACAGAAGATGCTCTCCTTCCAGGGTGCAGACAAATGGTCTTCCAAGACTGGACTTCCAATGGCATATATTGGTTGAGAAATGAATCAGGAAGTCGATTTTTCGAATTATCTTGTGTTATTAGGGATGACGCCAAACTTGAACGATACATGATACTTTTGAAACTTAACAAGGGCTAAATATAACCAGCAGGTAGAGTTGCAAGTACCTCAAAATGTCTACATTCAAGTTAAGTAAAACAGGAGTTGCCAAGATTTCAGTACTTATAATAGACATCACTTGAAGATTCCAGGTGCCTGATGATTATAATATCCTGTACATAAAAGACGGATGACATCTTATCTCACGGTCAAAATGGAACTAAGAGTCTCAGCCATCCTTAACATTACATTACAAGATCATGCCTCAAAATCTTAAAGTAATTTAATCTAAACTTGCCGCTTAACAGGAGAAGGTTTGGCCATTTTTAGTTGCAAAAAAAAAGCCACCAAAATTGAACAATAATTGTACAACTCTAGGCATATGGGCATTACCACTACTAGTTCTCAGATCCGTACCTTGTGGAAGACCCCTTACAATGTAAGACAATTGGAGGGAAGGGAAAACAACTTAGTCACTGATTCCAATTAATTGCCCTTAAAGTAATATCAGAACCCAAGTGTTGGTGTTTTTGTGTGTTGCTGTGCTGGACATTCTCAAGCAAGTGTTTATTTTTAACGACCCATTTACAAACTGTCTGCAGTATTGAGAAGGGTGTTACAAGGAATTATTATAGAATTTTGTTTTTGAAATTGCCACCCACTGACACCTGCCAAAACTGCAGCTAAAATGCACCTGACTCTTCACAAAAGTCGTCACTATTCAGTGGGCTGCATTTTATAAGGTATGAATCATTCTTACTAACAGTCCATTTTCACTTCGGTTCAACTGTACTGACATTTCACTCCATGGGTGTGTAGGCAAAATTTATCAGAAATCTTCTTACTTGCAGGGCCCCACTTTTTTGGAGAGCCTGGTTGAAGTGATCCAAAAATTCAAAAATTCTAACAATTATTGCCTAGTAGTACCCCCTATACCGGTAATAACTGTAAAAAGTGCATCAGGACCAAGAGGGCTATAAACTGTATGTCCAGGATGCGTCCTTCCATTTACTTGTGGGGGAATCAGAAATATTTCACCCGATCTACTCGATGGAAGTTCAAGCACCACTGATTAACTGGCCCAGTCAAAAGCGTCTGGACCTTTTGGCCGAAAGGTTAGCGCATTGCATTCTTAAGCTAGATATTCTCCAAATCCACGCGAAGTGCTGACATATTTTTGTGCTACTCTTCTTCTGCTTAACGGTGGGGTTCAAGCGCCACTAATTTACTGGCCCAATCCAACAAGTTCGAACATTTTGGCCTAACGGTTACCATGTTGCATTTGAAGCTAGTTCTCCAAGTCCACGCAAAGTGCTGAGCCAGACATACTTTGTGATACTCTTGATCCGCTAGTGTATCAGTCCATGGGGTTCAACTTCAAGCACCTGACTACTTAACCAGCCCAGTCCGATGGGTCTGGACCTTTTGGCCTAATGGTTAGCATGCTGCATTCTTAATGTAGCTGCCGGGTTTGGCATGGGTTCGATTCCCAAGGACCAGGGTTGACTGTACTACTCGAATCTAAAAGGTTTCCCTAGTGTCAGGACCAAACACCCAGCACACAGATGTTACTCAATCATGCAGGCTAAGGAATCACATAGTGTGCAGCTCCTGAAGTTGCCCTTCCCCTGAGTAAGCGGCGCCTGCAAACTCAAGGTAGAAGCAGAAAACTCTGGGAGCAAACACGATTGTTGTCCCTCAGCCGTCAAGATCGAGCACAACTTACCACTGGGTGTCTTGCTCCAGTTTAAATCTTGTACACTTGTTTGATACAGGTACAAATGTACAGTTGACCACCTGGCCAAATTGTGACCTACCCGCTTGGCATCTTGCCTCCAGTTTAAGTCTTGAATCTTGAATGGGATGAATTGTAACAAAGGTTGGGAGCTGCCAAGTCCTTAATTTACCCCTATTTGGCAAGGAGGCAGGGGAGGCCAGCAGATCAGCAGTTTTCACTGTCACCTATGTTCCGTGAACTTATCATTATCATCAGTTAACAAATAATTCCTGGACTTTCTTTTTCCTGCACCTGTCGCCACCTTGAATATATAGTTTGGTGAACATGTCCATTTTTCTCAGATCGTCAAATTTTGCTACCGCAAATATAAAAGTAAATTACAGTACCATGAATTTTAAAGTGTCAGACCTTCACTCTTTGGTTTCCTTGACCATAGGAATCCCTGAAACTGACTGCTACCACTGAATACAAATTGAAGAGTCACGCAACTACATAGAGCCTGCAATCTTGAAAGTTTCATGGAACCATTGCCAACTCAATGCAAAATTTTGTGAAAGAAAGGAACAAAAAAAGCATGTACAGGGTGTTGCAGACATACAGGGGACACGTCTTTGAACTTGTTTGTGGTGGATTTACATGTAGCTCCAGTTGCATGAGGGCCGATATTTTCAACTCACCTTTCCACTTGTGCCTAAGTTGGAAAAACACCACACAGTAACCTGTCAGGTTGACAATGTATTATGTTTTGCAGGATTGTCCCCTGTTCACACATTGCAAATTTGGACCACTGTTTTGCAAGTCTGTTTTACTGTTTCTAACCATAGAGTTTGGGCACACTGGGCAAGTTTCTATCTGAACCAAACTTCACAAAAGTTGAAACAGTTTGCAGCAAGGGAGGCACATGTAGGTAACAGTGGTGGTTTGAGTTTGCGTCAAAGCCAGGGAGTAAATATGTAGTAATGCAGAAGATCGAAAACATGTTCAGCCTAAAGCTTTCAAGTTTGCAGTTAAACTTAAAGCAGTTATTACAAAATCATGTCACCAGATTGGTTGTACTGTTTTATACTCAGGTGCCATATGGGCAGCAAGTTTCCATCTTGACCGAACAGCAGCCAGTTCCTTGGCCCCTTTCCATGGTAATATATTGTTAGTTATTCACATACCACATTATGTACCACTGTCCCCACATTGTGCATTTGCAAGTTAGTACCACTGTACGCACATTGTGAATTTTCACCACTGTTTTGAAAGTCAGTACCACTGTCCCACAATGTTTTGTGAGATTGCACCACGTGACCCCAGTTGATTTAGATTGATTTGTTTAGATTGATTTATTAACACAATAAACCAACCAATGTTAGATTGATTAATTTTTTTATTTGTTTAAATGGATTTATTACATTGATTTGTTTGAATTGAAGTTTGCGGGAACTTGATTTCGCGTAACAGTTGGTGGTGGTTTGAGCTCGCAGCAAAGCCAAGGAGTAAGTGCAAGCACACAGAATATGTTCACAGCCTTTCGGGTTTGCAGTTAAAGCAAGGAGACAGTCATGTTGGTTGTACTGTAATATTCAGGTTGTGTTTCAAAGGAAACTCCAGGAGTATCCCATGTTGTTGGTTTTTTTTTCAAAAACATCATCAGGTTTGTAGAATGTTGTACTGTGATACTCAATGTTGCGTCAATGAAAACTCCAATGTGTAAACGAAAACTCCAATGTGTAATCAAAAACTCCAATGTGTAAACGAAAACTCCAATGTGTAATCAAAAACTCCAATGTGTAATCAAAAACTCCAATGTGTAAACAAAAACTCCAATGTGTTAATGATTTGTCAAACGAAAGCTCCATAATATTGTCCAATATGTAAAGCCAATGGCCAATGCTGTAACAGTTACTTGTTTGCAAGCACTGGGGGTTGTTTGAAATTTTGTTGCCGTTAGCTGCCGTTAGCCGCATAGCGTTACCGGGAGGCACCGCGTGGAGGTGGCAGTCGGACTTCGCCTCCCTTCTTTGATTTTTGTGCTTTTAGAGATTTTATACTTTTTTGGGGAATTTTATGTTTTTTTTAATTTTTTTGGTGTTTTTAAAGTTTTTTAGAGTGGTGCAATCCCATCCCCCCACCCCCCACCCCTCCATGTTAGACAGTGGTACAACAGTGGTAAACAATGACAATGACAATAACAAAAACAAAAACTGACTTACCTTGGCATTTACGTCAATCAGGACTGGGGGCTCATCCACTGGTTTGAGATCACTCCATCACCAAGCAAAGTGTGTATCTGGGGGGTATCTCTTCCTCTCCTCCGATTCCTCTCTCTAACCTCTCCTCTTGGCATTTACATCAGGACTGGGGGCTCATCCACTGGTTTGAGATCACTCCATCACCAAGGAAAGTGTGTATCTGGGGGTGTCTCTTCCTCTCCTCAGATTCCTCTCTCTAACCTCTCCTCTGAGGGGATAGCATAGAAAGATTATACTAGATTAATAACTGACCACAATTGAACAGCTTCAATGTGCAGTGAACCAGTAACACCTAACTTCAGTACACAGTGAACCAGTAACACCTAGCTTCAGTTAATAGGGAACCAGTAACACCTACAATGTAGCTTCAGCACATAGTGAGCCAGTTACTGACCTAGCTTCAGTGCACTGTGAAACAGTAACTCCTAAGCTTCATTGCACAGTGAACCAGTAACACCTAGCTTCAGTAATTACACAGAGCTTCAGTGCACAGTATTAAAACCAGTAACACAAAGCTTCAGTACATGGTGAACCAGCAACACATATCTAAAGTGCACAGTGAACCAAATTGACACCTAGCTTCAGTACACACTTAGCTTCAGTGCACTGTAAACCAGTAACTGCACAAAGCTTCTTTACATGGTGAACCAGTAACACCTGGCTAAAGTGTACAGTGAACCAGTAACGCATAGCTTCAATGTGTAACACGTAACACAGTAAGTGAGTAACACCTACATGTAGCTTCAATGCGCAGTGAACCAGTAAACACCTATCTTCAGTACACATGTAGGGAACCAGTGAACCACGGTAACACCTAGCTTCAGTACACAGTTAACCAGTACTACATTTTGTAGCTTCAGTGCACAGTGAACCAGTAACACCCGGTAGCTTCGGAGTCACTGTGAACCAGTAACTCCTAGCTTCAGTGCACAATGAAACAGTAACTCCTTAGCTTCAATGCACAGTGAACCAGTAGCTTCAGTACACAGTTAAACAGTAACACCTAGCTTCCGAGTGCACAGTGAACCATGGTAACACCTAGCTACAGTATACAGTTAACCAGTAACTCCTAACTTCAGTGCACAGTAAACCAGCAACACCTTAGCTTCAGTACATGGTGAACCAGAAACACCTAGCTTCAGCGTACAGTGAACCACGTAAGACCTAGCTCCATATATATTAAGCCATACACAAGCACAGTCATTATACACACACACACACACACACACACACACACATACATACATACCCACAAATATAACACTCTTGGCGATGGTAATGAAACACAAAATAAATACCACTCAATGCAGAATTTCCCTCTCAATGCATGAATGGCAGCGCCAACATGTAAATACACACACACACATGTAAATGCACACAAACACACACATATAAACACCCATTCAAGCACACACACACATTATGTAAACACACCCTGAAATACATAGTGACACTTACCACTTAGTATCGCCCCCTCATTGCCCCTGATTGCAACATTCGCATGGGCCGCCGCCAGCCTTCTGGGCCGACCTCCAGGTGGTGCGTTCATGTGCGCAGCAATGGCGACAGCGGCGGCAGCAGCTGCAGCAGCATTGGGTCCAGCAGCAGCATTGTTGTTCTGAATCTGCCTTGCCCTTGGGCGCCTTGGTGGAGCTGCTGCGGCAGGGTTTGCATTAGCGTTTCTACGGGGTCTACGCCTAATTGGCAGCGGTTGGGCTGGGGGGAAGGCCGGGTTGTTGTCTGTGAGAAAAAACACAAAAAAAGGAGACACATTAGTTACACAGTAGTGGGAAATTTCGCCAGAAAAATCATCCAAGAAAATCGGGGAAACACCCTACATTATAAAATTAGTATAGCTGCACTGTGATAACAACAGAGCAGTGACATTATGCCACAGTTTATAGGGAACATTGTCATTGTTGTGTTAACAAGCAAATTTGCATGTTCAGAATATTTTTACCAGTAAATCTTGAAAATCACTATACATTCAACTATACATTCAAATGAAATTGGCTGTCTTAATTATATCTGATTTATGAAGCTTAGACATTAGATGCAATTCTGCAGCAGGTCAAATTTTTTAAAAATTCAATCAGTTTCCCGGCGATAAAAGTCAACTTACGGTAAAAGTTTGGTGCCCTCCGATTCCTGTGACCACGGCGCTAAAACAAGAACAAGAAAAACAAAACAATAAATACCTAGTATAAATATTTTTTTGCCAATTTCTCGGCCCTCCTTGGGCCCTCTGTAGGCATAGTATAGGAAGAAAAGACTGAGTGGATAATCTTTTCCTCACATGTAATATCTGCCACAAAAAATCAAAACCCTAGAATGTCTAGGACAAAACATAAACATCAGAAATTCTGCAGCAGAACCAAGGACACTGCTGCATTAACCACAGTCTGTGAAAGTTCACTTCTCAGTACATGCTTTGCAGTCTTTGAACCAGTTGATAGATAGCAAATGGGAAACAGTTACTGTTTTTTTTACCTTTTCACACCTTAACTGGATATTTTAGTTTTAAGCTACTTGCACTTGCACAGTCAAAAATTACATGCACCTTTCCAATTTGACTTGCACAGACTTGTTGGCGAGGAGCGGATCATGGGGAGTGGACTAAAGCTAACAAGGCTGGACACCTGAGGCTAGAGAATTTAAGGAGCCCTGAGGTTACAATGATAGACAAATACAGTCACACACACATATATATATAATAACTCAAGGGTCTTACAGGGCCATTGTTGTTGGCCTGACCTCCAGCACCCCCTCCGACGTTGTTGTTGTTGTTGTTGGCGTTGTTGTTATTGTTGTTGTTGGCGTTGTTGTTGTTGTTGTTGTTGGCGTTGTTGTTGTTGTTGTTGTTGCCAACATTGTTGTTGTTGCCGGCGTTGTTGTTGTTGTTGTTGCCGGCGTTGTTGTTGTTGCCGGCGTTGTTGTTGGCATTGTTGTTGCCAGCATTGTTGTTGTTGTTGTTGTTGTTGTTGTTGCCAGCACCTCCTGCACCAACTCCCATGCCACCACCTCCAGCACCACCACCATTGCCTAGAATAAAGGAATGAATGAGTTGATAATAACCAAAGCTTCCTGCCATTGATGACCCCAGACTATATCATGCTCAGAACATCAGGTACTGTAAATCACTTCATATTCACTGTAGCAAAATTTCGCGGTCTGAGAAAAATGAACATATTTGTAGAAAAATGTTAACAACTAGGAAGACAATTGCAAGCAGCTTTCTTTAACCGTTGGGGCCAAAATATGAGCATTTTGGTCAGAATAAAGCAGCGAATACGAGAACCCACAAATCAGATTGGTGTGGCCTCGAGATTCTGAAACAACAAAATGAAACATACCCAATACCAGGTTGAGCCACATCCACAGCTGTAGGACCGTATTCTCCAGCATCTGGAAAAATTAGACAGGTATTTTAAATGATTACTTCTGTATGGATTCTATTTTCACTGCTTGTTTTTGATACTTAAGTTCCAAACTTATATTCAATAATCAATATCACCTCTGGTCAGATGTGGCTATATAAATGACCAGATAAAGTACCGGTATTATTACGCACTGCAGCACATCTACAAGCACCTTTAGGCCTAAGAAAAAAAATGTTGTGTTTCCTGTTTCAGTCCTGAAAAAATTAGGGTCGGTAGGCAGAGATTTTTTCTTCCTTTTTTCTTAGACTGGTGATCTATAGTGATCCAACTTACACAATACAGTTTAACAAAGTAAAACTTGCACAATGAGGACACTTACATTTTCAATGTCAATGTTGGAAAAGTGATTGTGCAACGTTTTATCAAGCAGGTGTCAGATCATGGAGCCAGAAAAGGTCAATCAGCTCAGGTCAATGCAGGCAGCAAGCAGGGATCCACAAAAAAAAAGGCAACGGTCGGCAGGTTTTTCTAGGGTCGGTCGGGAAACAGGAAACACAACATTTTTTCCTATTGTTCAAGTTCATTAATTATGCAGGATTTGTCTTAATGCTAGTAACTATGTTCTATTTCTAAGACTACAGGCACACACACTAGAAGGAGTGCCTTGAAGACAACAATCTGTACAACACACGTCGATGAAGGTTACACATCCAGGTAATACGAAACTTAAGCCACATAGCTTGGGGGCCAACACCTGACATTGCCCAATGGCAATATTTTCTTCATTTTGCAGCACAGATTTTGCAACCTATGGATGGTTTTAGGTGGTTTTGGAAAAAAAAGAGGTTTGTGATATGTTTTTTTGTATGATAAGTCCGGAATCGGTTCTTGACTTTAGTTTTTTTTTACTTGAACCTAAACATTTTTATAAGTATGGAACTGGTCCAGCGAACCAATACGCAGCACTACTGACAACATGCTGGGTACCCCATGAACTTTGCAGCAGGTCCTTTAACCATACTTGGCTGAAAGGTATCCAATAGAATTTCAGGGTAGCAAAACAGTATTTTCAAAGTCAATTTTCTGGTCTTTCTGCATTGGTGCATTTTGGAGTTTATTTTTTTGCAAATCCCCCCAAAAATGAAGCAGGCGAATCCGTGAACCAGAAAATTAAATTGGTGTGGCTTGAGGTTAAAAAATCTAAAATCAACTTACATCCACTCTGGCCTGTAGCTGTACTACGTCTGCAACACCACCTCCTCCGCCAACATTTCCTCCTCCTCCACCACCTCCTGCCCCAACTGCCATGCCACCTCCCAGGCCACCTCCTCCGCCAACATTTCCTCCTCCGCCACCACCTCCTCCGCCACCATTGCCTAGAATAAAGGAATGAATGAGTTCATAATAACCAAAGCTTCTTGCCATTGATGACCCCAGACTATAGCATGTTCAGAACATCAGGTACTGTAAATCACTTCATATTCGCTGTCGCAAAATTTCGTAGTCTGAGAAAAATGGACATATTTGTAGAAGTATACATGTATGTTTGTGGTGGAGGCTGGTGCAAATTGAAAGTTAGGGAGTTATTTGCTCATGGAAATGATAAATTCGCAATACAGATGTGACCGGGAATATAGCTGTATCACAAATATAAAGTGATTTACAGTATTCAGTACATTCAGGGCTCAAAATACTTTTTTCTACATATATGCTTCAATATATATCATCTCTAAACATGTAACTACCAACACAGATGAACTTTCATGATTGCTATTGCTTGTTGACCCACTACAAAATATTACTTAAAATATTACCTAAATATTACAAACAAGACAATTCTCGGCTTATGGCTCTCGGGAGACCCGAAATGAGACAAACATATTGAAGTAATAACAAAGAAGGGGAGCTCATGTCTTTTCTGGCTGAAGAAACAGGATACATACGCCCGACTCTTGAATGTACGGCCCCAGTTTTGAATTCAAGTATCTTGGCACAACGTATAATAAAAATAGAATGCATACAAAAACGAGCAGTAAAGATAATCCTTGACCCCCTGTACACATCTTACAACATCGCCCTGTCCCAATTATGTTTGCCGTCCCTAGAGAAAAGAAGAGAAGCCCTCAGTCTTAAGTTTGCAAAGTCCCTCCTTAACTCCCCTACGTTCCGATATTGGTTACCCCCATCCCGCTCAGACATTCATGGTAGATGCCTGAAGGGCATCCGACATCCCCCTGATGAAAACAAAGTGTTATTTCGTTGACCATTTGAATAAACAAGCAAGATGAAAGTTTTTAATCTATTAACAGATACTTCTCATCTATTTTTATAACTGTGTATAGTCAGTAGTTGTTTTAAGTTTGTACCTAGTTTGTCAATGTCCTTTGTTTAGCCGACCTTATTGTTTAGTCTGTTTTTAAAGCCTGAGTACGTAATTCAGCGTTCTTATATGCTGTCATGTACCTGGATTGTGGTCAATAAATAAACTATTATTATTATATTAGTATTACTATAACTAAAGGAAAATAGACAAAACAGAAGCCAATTCTGTCCTACATGTAGGAGGATTTTGTTTGTTTGGTTGTTTCATTCTTTATTCATAAGAAGCTCAAATCGGCCTGCAGGCTGCTTTTCTTTGAGGTAAAAATATTGAAAAGATTTACTAATCACAACAACAAACATATATAGTCACTTATGGGCCAAAAGCAAAATGGAAAGTTTTTAAGTAAATCAAGTTGAAATGAATTGACAGACAGGTATCCAGAAACACATTACAAGTGACATAATTTTCATGATCAAGTCAATACTCCCGAAGGCTGTTTGTAAAATGATAATCATGTTTCACCTGGCCGTAATTGAGCTGGAGGATTCTTGCCTTGGGGGTACCATAATGATTATATTGTTGCGGTATAAATATATAGTAACTGAGCCCAAACTTAACTTGCCAACACTTTTTTTAGATCTGGAGAAATATTATCTACAGAATCAGAAAAGTTGCTTTTGTTGTTTTGCTGTAGCCAAGGAGGTTCGAATTTTGGTCGAATCGACCCCTGAATATCCCGCTACCTATCGCCTGCTTTTGAATTTTAAAAAAATGGCGTGACGTTTGGGAGTTGGAAAGTTTTTTTTTTCTTTTGAGGGAATATCAACCAGTACAGGAACTTCAACAAGACTATGATGTGGATTTCTACCTGCCGAATCGCCGATTGGCTCAGAGAAAGGATTTTTCAGCACCTTGTAGGGATTAGAGACGACCGAACAGTTGTCAACCGGCCGGCATGATATCTGAGTCGGGGTGACGCCGACTTCTACCAGGGAGGTTTCGGTTCCGAAGTTTTCAAAGCGTGGTACGTGCTACATAACGTTATACATCTGCAAGGCCATTCTAGGACACTTTTAGAGAAACCGGCCGCCTCAGGAGTTCGTCAGATACGTTTCAAGGGTACACACAACATTTATTCGTTCGTGATATTTCTAGTGGTAAAATAGTAACACATTCTAGGATCTGTTATCCCTCCGTAGCGCCATCTTGCGAAGTGACGAACAATTGCAAGCTGAGGCGCGGGAAATTTGAGCTAACACGAGGGTGTATTCCAAGTTCACATCGGAAGTTTTCAACGACAGCGATCTAACAAGCTAACTGCAACACGATCATGGTCATCTACCGAGAACAGTAAGTTAGCTATTTTACCGATCACGTGTGTGTGTGGGGGGGGAGTGTTTTGGGTCAAATGTCGTTTGCCCAAGGTCGCAAAAGAGTTACTACATTCCGGCGGTGAAAATCTCCTGCGGCCCCAAAGAGAATCAGCCCAGAGTCCCAGACCATAATAGATCTCGACTGGACACCGGACTACGACTACTTCTGATCGGCGTAAGTAAGGCATAAACAAGCCAGGATTTCTACTGATCGACGACGGAATCGTTTGACAACAAGATCATCAAACTGTGTAGCAAACGATACTAGAAATATAATCAAGCTCACCTCCGAGCGCACCTCCGGGGTTGACGTTCATAGTTAACGTTCCACCGATAGTTTTCCTTAAACAAAACAAAAATTGAAGTCGAGCTGAAGACCGAGTCAAGGCCGAGTATACTGATTAAAGAACAACGTGAGACTGAGCTTCGCTTCGCTTCCTCGGAAGACCAGGGCGCGGCCCAAGCGAGACACCCAGACCAGACGCAGCGTAAGACGCGACGGAAGTCTAGACGCTACGTCAAGACCAGGTTGGCGGTTTCTTGTCTTTGAGGGAGGGGGGGGGGGTAGCTGTATCCTCCGCTCTTGATTCGGGCATAACTCGTTCTTTTGGGGAGAGGATTTTGGATACGTGTATCATACAACTACAAGTAAAGACTAGGCCAGTGTCCGATATATATTTTATGTGACTTTATTTTCCAAGGAGATGTAACTATAAGTTTGTTTTATCACAACATGACACAATTGGCCTGTTTAATACGCGGATTTGGCTTCTTTGGAGGCACTGTTGCTTATGAAATAGTCCCGTATGTGTCGGACAACAATCTAAAACTAACAAAATATACAACACAACTAGAAAGGCCAATATTTGCTTTGGAGCAAATACAGCGATGGGTTCACCACATTTTACGACATGGCAGGGAAAGAATGGGAAACACAAGGGAAAACAATGATTTACATTGATATAACTATAATATGAAGTAAAATACAACTAAAACAACAGTTGGATAGCTATTCCCTACTTTATTGGTTAGGATTTTTAATTGCATAATGCAAACTGTTGATTTTACAAAATAAAAAAAAACGTCCATGCCCGGCATTCCAATGCTGGAGCAGGAAAGCTTGAAATACCTACCAAAACACTTGAATACAGACATACTGTCAGTATGGAAATGCTTCTGTGCAGGTGTTAATCAAGTTAAATCCCAACAGCCAATCAGCAAGAAGTATAGAGGAAAGCTGCATGCCTATTGGTTGATGCCCTGCATTCCATTCTGATGACTCATGCCCAAACGTGGTAAACAAGGCAGACTAACACAGTAATACATTTGCTATAACACAGCCAAAAAACTCAAATAAAACCATTCTAAAAGCCTGTATCACAATAATTTAAAAACGCCTAGGGGTATTTGCCCACTGTACCTCCATACCAAATTTCAGGACCTTAGGCCCTAAAATGAAGAAGCTGAATCCATTTAAAGATATGGCAGGAGGAGGAGGAGGAGAAGGAGAAGAAACATCAGAAAAAGCAATATGGTTTCACCACACCACTTCGTGGTGTGGTGAACCCATAATAATGACAATCTACCGAAACTCAGTAAGTAACCGATCTTCACGATTACAAAAGCAAAGGGGAGCTCGTGGGAGTTGTCTTCAGCTGGATAGCTTTTCAAACTGTTCAAACTCAAATGAAAAAAGAAGAAACTTTATTATGGGTTCACCACACCACGAAGTGGTGTGGTGAAACCATATTGCTTTTTCTGATGTTTCTTCTTCTCCTTCTCCTCCTGCCATATCTTTAAATGGATTCAGCTTCTTCATTTTAGGGCCTAAGGTCCTGAAATTTGGTATGGAGGTACAGTGGGCAAATACCCCTAGGCGTTTTTTTAATTATTGTGATACAGGCTTTTAGAATGGTTTTATTTGAGTTTTTTGGCTGTGTAATAGCTAATGTATTACTGTGTAAGTGTGCAGTGTTTACCACATTTGGACATGAGTCATCACAATGGCATGCAAGGCATCAAC